TTTTCAAAAATGTATTGTTGGTAATATTTTTTTTCAAAAATGTATTGCTGGTAATAATTTTTACAAAAAAGTATAAAAATAGGTTTTAATAAGCCTATTTTTATACTTTTTGCGTTTTGACACCTTTTGGAGGGTTAACTATTTGCCCATAGCTGGGACCTTAACAATTGCTACCACCCCGGGTCAGGGTGGACCTGGGAACAGCAGCTATTAAGAGGTGGTTCCACGCTCCTCAAAACATTCTGATCAAAGGCCTTGCTGTCGGATGCAGTTTATCATCTTACCCAGGACGCGGATGTAGTCTATCGTCTTACCCAGGACGCGGATGTAGTTTATCGTCTTACCCAGGACGCGTATGTAGTTTATCATCATACCCAGGACAGATTTTCATTGGGTTATTCATCTTTTAATATTTTCTCAGAATATTCCCAGCGAACATATTTCATTAAATTCCTCTTTTAAAAGATTTTTTTTTTTGGTGGGGCCAAACAAACCCAAAAGCAACATAGGGTAGTTATAAAGTTTTATTTCATCTAACCTTAAACCCTGACAAACATTAATAAGAACAGATATAAAATATAAAGAATGGGAACTGTTATTGGTCATGATCTGACATCTCGGCTTCAGTCACTTTCTCACCGCTTGTCTGTGCCTTTCCTAAAAATGTTTTCATGGTTATTGGTTTGATGAGTATTCCTCTTTGGTACTTAGAATTTATGAATTTAAGTACAGTATGAGATTGGTGGCAACGTTTTACACCTGAAGTGACTAGATGTAACAGTAAATTTTCTGCTAACAGTTTCTTCTCTCTCACTTTTCGCTTATGGGACTCTCTTCCTGCTTGCTGATTTCCTGTCAATTCTTCGAAAATTTAAGTGCAATGTCAATCGTTAACTTCTGTTTTCTTAATTCTCGTTCTTTTATTGTTCTCTCTCCTTAATAATGTTTTCTTTTTCTTATATTCTCTCACACTCAGTAACCTATTGCATCTTAGAGGCTTTAGTGCCTTACTTGGGGTGAAGTGATTAAAAAACAGAAAGGAAATGTGTAGGTAAGTAAAAGTAAGTAAATCATTTTCCTTTAGAGTGGGTTGGTCTCAAAGGGTTACTTATAAGACAAATTGATGAAATTATTTACTTTTTTTTTTAAAGCTTTTCACCCCAAGCAAGGCAGGCAGCCACTAGGACGCAAGGGGTTACAGAAGAGCAAGATCAGATAGGAGTGATAGAGGAAAGGATGAGGAGATGGATAGTGGATAGATCAAGGCAACTGGAGATGTCGATTGACATTACATTTGAATAGTTGGAGATTATAGCTCTCAGGGAAACTGGAATGGGGAAGGGAGTTCCACAGGCGAGAGGTGCGAGACATGAAGCTATTGGAGTAGAAGAGACGGCTACATTTAGAAGTTTCGACAGTGAAAGGGTGAGAGCGAGATACCAGTCTCATAGGGCGCTTAAATTCATGAAGTCTGGGAACCAGCGAATGCAGCTCCTCGGAGTAATTACCATGTTCGTTGAACGTAGAATTTCTGATGACTTTTCAGGAGCTTCTAATTGTGTGAGTTCCTAAATTTATATCCAGCTTTACTAGTTGTATTGCGCCTTAAGTTTTATCTTCACGCTGAGTTAGATGATTGAACATTTCCTTCATCGTTGGTTGCATTCTATATTAGTTTAATACTGATTAACAAACACCGGAACCGGAAGTTGTAATAATGAACTTACTTTCATACAAAACCGATCTCTGAGGAATCTTGAGTCTAATCTTAGATAATCTCATGGCATTTACTGGTGGGAAATGCTAAGCGCCTTTGTAATTTCGATGACCTGACAGGCGATGAGGGCAAAATATGTGAACTCCTCCGGCACTTGTCTCTTTTTTTTTTTTAATAATTTCACCTCAAGCAAGGTAACAAAGACACTAAGACGCAGGAGTGTGAATGGATATGAGAAAAAGAAAAGCATTATTAAGGAGCGAAAATATAAAAGAACAGAAATTAAGAATAAAGAAGATAACGATTGACATTGCATTTAAAGTTTTGAAGATCATTTTTGACTGTAAAGCAAGAAGCCGGAAGAAAGTTTCACAAGCGAGAAGTGCGAGAAAAGAAAATGTTAGCATAAAAATAACGGTTACATCAAGCCATTTCCATTGTAAAATTGAGATCATACCACCAATATCGTACAGCGATTCATAGAATCTAGGCAGAATAGAGGAAAATACCATAAAATAGAAAGGAAATAGAAACTTACAAACGATAAAGAAAAAGAACAGGAATAATGAAAATTAGAATAATCTCACAAAAAAAGGCTTTAGGGATTTTGCATGAAATCGAACTCGTTAACTGCGGATGACGGAAATTTCTGTCATTTCATTTCTTTTCCTCAACTGCAAATGACAGATATTTCTGCTGTAGGTAAATGTTTAGATTTAGATTTAGAATATACTTCGAATATAGCGGGAAAGATTTTATTAGGTTTACGATAAATAAACTTGTAATCATACTTATTATAAAACCCAGGTTGTTTGTGTTTGTGTGTGTGTGTGTGTGTGTGTGTGTGTGTGTGTGTGTGTGTGTGTGTGTGTGTGTGTGTGTGTGTGTGTCTGTACGTTTATATATTGGATCGGATTTCCGACATTTTTCAACCGATTTCAACAAAACTTCACAGGACTACGTAAAATTACCTTGCGGTGGTTCTGACAGCGCCCAAAATTGGAAAAACACAATTGTTTTTCACGAAATCAATTTGAAAACACGATTAAGAGGCATCGCTTTCGCGGAATGAAAGGTGACAACAACTCATATCGAGTTATACTTATTATAAAACCCAGGTTGTTTGTGTATGTGAGTGTGTTCGTTTATATATGGGATCGGATTTCCTACATTTTCAACCGATTTCAACAAAAACTTCACTTTTTTTTTGGCAGGTAGTGTTTCTATTGTCTTGCACACTTTTTTTTTTTTTATTTTTTACATTCAGAATGCTTTAAAAATTCCATTTACAAGACAATTGTTTATAATAAAATTCTATTCAATCGGTAGACTCATAACGATTGAAAACAATGTTTTTGTTTGAGTTTGGGTTTGACCAATTCGTAAAAAAAACAAAAACAAAACAAAACAAAACAAAAAATAATTAAGACATGCGTGTCCGTCAACTTTAAACAATGATCTTTGTCAATTTTATTTTTCAGTCTTTATGATGGTCGATACTTGATCTATCTCTTGACTGTTACATCCCCGGGCAACGCCGGGCTCTACTGCTAGTCACTGATAATTGTCAACAGTTTCTGAGTGGTTTGGGATTTAGGAATTATCAATATTTACATTCGGACTAGTTTCCTCATGGGACGATAGCGTAGTGGACAAAAGCGTTATTTTGTGAGTGAAGTTCTATCCCCGAGTAGACTTAGACTCTGTGAATATAGTCAGTAATAACTGAACAGTCCTAAAAATAAGAAGACAATGTATCTATGGGCATTGACGAGAAAATTACATGGTTAACTGGACCTGAAGAAGACCGGCCGAAACGTTGTGATAATGATAATAAAGATGACGTTGGTCCGAATTTAAATAATGTAATTATTGTCAATATTTTTTTCGTAAATTAAAACTTATTGCTCCTCCTTTACTCTTTCCCAATATTTATATCCCCAACCAGACAGCCTTTTCACAAGAATTGCCAATCTTAGCATCTTCGAGTCAAGGGTCAGTCATCACCTTTCCTTATCTTCATAATCTTAATTTCTTATCAATTTTTCCATTCATAACACACGTTTTATTCAGCATTAGCATTTTAACTGTAACTCTCTACCTTAAGCGGTTTTCGAGCTTTGTATCGACTGAAACCTAGTATATATATATATATATATATATATATATATATATATATATATATAATATAAGGTCTAGCGCGCCTTGCATATACTGCTTTTTTTTGTCAGGTCTACGATAGATGGAGGGTCAATATGAAGGCGGTGTTATAAAGTTCTCGGTTCGATCTACTTTCTAAATTCTGACCAAATGACTAGATTAGACTTCTTTTTTGTAATCGCTTCTGGGTTGGGTTGTAAACTTTTCACCACCTCCGCAAATGTTATGGATTTTTAGAAGAACCCATAATTTCCGGTTTCAGTTTAATTGAATTAAGCAAAAGTTGAGCAAAAAGAAATTTGTGAAGAAATTACGATGCTAACTATTGCAGAACGATGAACGCTAACTTTATGAAAAAAAAAAAATCATGCTCGAGTTTTGCGATTGTGAAAAGGAAAATACGACAAATAAGTTACCAAAGGTATAAGAATAAGAATAAACGAACAGGGAAGATAAATAGAGTAGAAGAAAATCAAATCGAAGGCGAATTGAACGAGAGAAAGGGAAAGAGAAGAGTGGAAATTCCAAAAAAACAAAATAGGCAAAACTTTCGATAAAAATGGAAGTCAAGCGGGAAAGAATTGGATCCTCGTAAAGAATTTAGCGTCGAAGGAAAATGAAGCAAACGCTAATGGGACGAAATGAAACTCGAAATAAAAGGAAATAAGCATAAAACGGGAGAAGAGTTTAGACAAAGAGCAAAAGAAAAACGAAAAGAAACAGAATCGAAAACGCAAAAGAAAGAAAGCAAAAAATAATGTCGAAGTACATGTACAAAGCATGCTGTTGCATAAAGTTGGGAATGATTAGAAAAGTAGTGGATAGAAAAAAGCAAAAGAGACAATAAGAAAAAGCTGGCTGACGATAAAGAAAGAAAATAATAATAATAATAATAATAATAATAGGAACAATAAAAATATCAAATAACAAATACATGCTGCAGGAAGCGAAACAAAAACAACGACGCTCTATTCAAGAGAGTAGTAGGTCCGTTTGGCGGGAACGTGCCTGAAGTATATCAAGTGTCTCTGGCTTAGCAGTTTCAGTTTCAAGGAAATCTCCGTTTTGATCAGGGCTTGGTGAACAAAGTTGTTTATTCAATCGTCAAATATTTCTCTTAGACTTCGGGAAAAGGCGTCCAACCAGTAGATTCTTAGGCGTCAGAGAGAGAAGAGTGTGAGAGAGAGAGGAGAGTGAGAGAAAGAAGAGGGAGGGAGGGAGAGAGAGATGAGACGGAGAGAAAGGAGAGGGAGAGAGAGAGAGAGAGAGAAGAGGGGGAGAGAGAAGAGGGAGGGAAAGAGAGAGGAGACGGAGAGAAAGAAGAGGGAGAGAGGGAGAAGAGGGAGAGAGAGAGGAGAGGGAGAGAAAGAAGAGCAAGAGAGAGAGGAGACGAAGAGAAAGAAGAGAGAGAGAAAGAGAAGAGGGGGAGAGAAAGAGGAATGGGAGAGAAAGAAGAGCGGGAGAGAGAGGAGGGAGAGAAAGAAGAGGGAGAGAGAGAGGAGAAGGAGAGAAAGAAGAGGGAGAGAGAGGGAGGGAGAGAAAGAAGAGGGAGAGAAAGAAGAGGGAGAGAGAACGAGAAGAGGGGAGAGAAAGAGGAGCGGATAGAAAGAAGAGCGGGAGAGAGAGGAGAGGGAGAGAAAGAAGAGGGAGAGAGAAAGAGAAGAGGGAGAGAGAGGAGAGGGGAGGGAGAGAAAGAAGAGAGAGAGAGAAGAGGGGGAGAGAGAGTAGAGGGAGAGAAAGAAGAGGGAGAGAGAGAGGAGAAGGAGAGAAAGAAGAAGGAGAGAGAGAAAGAAGAGAGAGAGAAAGAGAGGAGAGAGAGAGAGTCACTCGACACTGCAATGCATGACTGGGAATCGAACAGGGAATTTGATAGCAGTTTACCCTGATGATAAAAGGCAATTCCTTTACACAAAGAAATTAGTTGCCAAGGAGATAGCAGATACGCAAGTACGCAGAAGGAAACACACACATGCGCATGTGCGGGCGCGCTCGAATGCGCGCAAACGAGAGATTGATAAAAAGTTGTCAGCCCGACCCATTTCCAAAAATCTGACCAAAAGTCTAAACATCGGTTTCTATTTTGCAATCATTTCATGATCGAGAATAGAACTTTTTATATTGATTCGTTTTTTACTGTTTATCGGCCCTTTTGCAGCATATTTAAAGCCAGAAAATATTTAGATTGTAAGAACATTTTGTAGATAATAATGATTTAATAATATAAGTCTTACTATTTAACTTATAGTTATGGGGGAAGGTAGATTTATGCCTTCCCCGAGAGTATTTGCGCCTAATTAAATATAATGAACCCAACTGGAATTGGAACTCTTCACTCCGATTAATAGTTCTGAATCATTAGCCATTACAAAACCCGCAAATCTAAGCTTACAACACCTGGTATTCCCAAGCAGTCACACATCTTGGTAATGATCCGGCTCGACGTTTTTTCAACGTGATATGGCAGTAAACAAAAGAACTTTTCTGCACCTAAATGAGATAGATAGATACAAGAAGATATATACAGAGAGAGAGAGAGAGAGAGAGAGAGAGAGAGAGAGAGAGAGAGTGTCTCTGTATGTGTCTGTGTGTGTGTGTATGTGAGAGAGAGAGAAAGACAGGTAAACAGATAGACAGAGATAGAAAGAGAGAAAAGTGTGATATATATGGGGGTACTGCAAAATTATCGGTTCCAACCCACTTCTCAAAATCTGACCTATGTGTTTAATACATATGCTTTTTGAAGAAACTAATAATTTCTCTTATTTATACTTACTTGAAAGTTGAAATTAGTAATTACTTAGGATATATTACGTATAAAAATAAAATGTTTGCTTACACAAATTTATTGAAACAGAAAGGAAAACCCAAATGTTCCGTGCAGTTCTGGAAAAACTTCTGTACAAATGATTCATTTTCAAATTTCTGCCAACCAATAAGAATATGTCCCGCATTTCTATCGACCAATCATAGCAATTTATTCACCACGACCGATTTCTATTGACCAATCAGAGCATTTCACGCACCATGATCACCAACTTATGTGAATTTTGAACAGTCATCGAAATTGTTCTGACTGGCGAAGACAGACAAACCCCTTGAATTAAATTTTGAATTAGAGATCGTTCTAAAATATTCTAAAATCTTATTGCCTATGAGCAAGAGAAAACTATAGAGGACACTAAATGACTTAAGATTTTAGATTAAACTAAAGTGAATCAATGTTGTCGATTTTTTTTATTTAATTATATATTTATTTTTATGTCTTTTATTTTATTTTATATTATTTATTTATTGATTTAATTTATTTGTTATTTTACTTTCTCTTATAAAAGCCACAATTTATTTGTTCTCTTTTAAATTTTAAAATGTTTATGCTCATACATTAATATGTTGGCTTGTCTTTCCTTTTAATGATATTGTCTTTAGATATGCGTTTTATTTATATTTTGATATTACACACACATACACATACATACATACATATACACACATACACCTACATACACATACTGGCAGACACACACACACACATATATGTACAAGGGGATATCAAAAATACTTTTACAAACTTTGGGGCGGGTTCCTGACATCAAAAGAAGGCAAAATGTTCATATAAACATATGTCAACACAGCAACTCATAACAAATGTTTAAAATGCCCTCCGCTTGCTTGCACATACGCAGGCATCCGATGGATCATTGACTGGCGGACCCTTTCAAATACTCCCACGCGGTGTTGAATGGCTCCGCAGGCACTCATGACACAGATAAAATTCCAAAGGATTGAGGTCGGGGGAACGTGTGGGCCATGGAACCGTTTCTCCTCTACCTATCCATCTTTTACGTCATCGTAAACAATGTGATTAATGTGCAGGATCCCCATCATGCATGAACCACATTCATCTTCACATTAGCAGGATTACATCTTCTAGCAGGCCTGAAAGTGTGTTCGAAATAAAGTCCCTGTAAACAGCTCCTATAAGACACGCTGGGAGAACATATGGACCTACCAGATAGCCACCTACATTTCCAGCCTACACATTAATCGTAAACTGATGTTGGTGTCTAGCTTGTATTTTATAATTGGGATTCCGATCCGCCCACAAATGTTGGCTGCGTAAATTTGTTCTTCCATCTCTTTCAAATGTTGCCTCATCCGTAAACAAGACTGAAGAGACAAACAACGGATTAGCAGTTTTTACAATAAACCATGTGCAAACGTTCTCCCATGGTGAGTGATCAGAGAGCGAAATACTCTGCACATGATACAGATACAGGAGCTGCTTTTAAAGTAACCTCCATGCAGTAATATGAGATGTATGACATGCTGGAGATATTTGACCTGGATTGTTTCCACAGACTGTGGAATGTGTTCTTCATGAGCAGTCTCGATCTTCCTCGATCCATAGTTTGCAGTTCCACTGATCTTATCCCAGTAAAGCGACGATAAACAGCAGTAAAAGTTGGATGACTCGGCTGCCTTCGGCCAGGAAACGCAATCTGATACAGCCGTGCAGGCTCACGTCCATTACCATTCGCGCTGCTGGTATTTAAAAGTTATATCAGCTGGCTCATGACATGAATATCCTGCCATTGTTAAACGGAACAATTCTCAGTTAACTCACTATTATATACGTTAAACTTTGAAGACAGACTAGTCACAAATGTACACCAATGACAAATGTAACCTAGTCTACATGGCAACATAGCGTCATCTCCTTTGTGGCCGAGTCGGTTAAGGCACGTCAGCGTAAATGACGGTTCCGTATAGGATGCAGGTTCGAATCCTGTCAAAGGACGAATATTTTCTATGAAAATTTCTCGGACATTCAGGCCGGTAAATGTTGCTTAATACTGTTTATTATAAACAGAGCATTTACTTAAATACTTGTATCTATAAAAAGAATGTTAAACATAAAAATGTCTTTAATATATATATATATATATTATTGTATAAAAATAATGAAAGTTTATGATACTTATCGGAGATCGATTTGCGTTGACATAAGTTGAATTCTATAAAGTGTCATTACTATTGTTAATTTTGTTATAATAAATAATAACAATATTAATAATAATAATATATATATATATATATATATATATATATATATATATATATATATATATATATATATATATATATGTCTGTGTGTACGTGTGTTGAAATTCCTATAGTTATAGGAAAAGAGCGCTTAATATCGGAGATATAAGCAGTGTACATCATGGAAATCTGAATCAAAGAAATGTTATGCGATATCAGTCCTCACAGATGAAGAAGAGACTTGAAGCAATAGAAATATTGTTCTACAGAAGGATACTGAGAATACCAAAGACGAAACATGAGCGACGACATGGCTTAGATAAAATGGAAACAAAATGGACAACAAAGGATGAGGCTGCAAAGGCGACCAAGGAGTCATATCTAGATATTTAAGCATCACATACAATTACTTGGGAGTATATTCAATCCGAGACCGTTTAAGCGGACTGGGTTACTCGATGAGAACGTCGTTCTAAATACACACACTTCCACCATGCAATGTCTCGCGCTACTTTCGCTAAACCTAAGCACGTATGACTGTGATGCATGTTCCTGGTATCAACGTACTAGATTGGGCTTTGTATATTTATCCCCCCACCCAGTATCACTTTATTTGCATCATGACTCTCACTCGATAGTAATAATAATAATAATAATAATACAGACAGAACAAACAAAGCTAGTCGCCCTGACATCTTGATTAGAGACTGCTAAGACAAAATGTGCCTCCTTATTGACATGGCATTTCCAGCAGACTGCAATGTATCTTTGAAGATAATACAAATACAAAGACTTTGAAATAGAAATCTCAAAAATGTGGCACACAAGTTCAGCCCCACCTTACGAAGGGCATTATCTATGTAAAATATGTGCGATTTTTTTTAAAACTGTTCAGTGGAAAATGTTATGATACCGTTTCTGAGCCCAGGCCTCTGATCAGGAGCCGAAAAGAAATGAGTGTACACCAGAAACCAAAGAAAATAATAATAATAATAATAATATCTGGCCTTTGATGTTTAATAATTTGCTCTCTATGACTTTCAAACAAATCGAGTTTTTGAAAGCCATAGACCAAACATAGTCGCCCTTAACGCAATTTAAATGCCAAATAACTGATGTGGCCATACTTGTTGATTACTTACAATATAACAGCAAAGCAAATAGAACCTATCAGCACTTCTGATTCCATGTGCTGTGTCCCTTCGGGGCGTAGGCGATTGTGGATCTCTACGATTTCCTTTCCTTTGTAGTTCTTAAAAAATCTTCTCTTTTTTGTCTCTCCTTAAAATTGTTTCGTCATCCATTTACCCAAGCTCTCTAGGTAGTTTATGCGTTGTTTTCCTCTGTTCCTCTTGTCCTCATTCTGTCCTGTGAGTATCATATTTCCCAGCTCTCTTTTCTCATTATGTACCCAAGAGATTTCAACGATCTTTTCCTGGTGTTGAATATAAGTGTCCTCTTTGTTTCCATTTTCTTTAAAACTTTGTCGTTGCTCACATGTTCGTCCCATGGTATTCTCAGCTTACTTTTACTCTGACATAAAGGTCGATATTGTCAGTTTTTTTTTTAGAAATGCGGGAGAAAAATGTTAGTCATCCCGGTAGTGATTGGGGTACTCGACTCCATTCTATTGAAGTTTAAAGAATATCTCGATCACCTTGGTGTAAAATACACTTTGCGAACGTTACAGACGTCTACGGTTATTGGGTAGAGGAAACATACTTGGAAAAGTACTGTCTGTCTGAGTTCCTCGTTGTGAATAAAATGGAAGAATCTTTCCTGGCACTCAAGATTTCTATACAACAAATGTACCATCATACATTCACAATACTACTACTACTACTACTACTACTACTACTATTAATAATTGAGTAAAAAGTTATAATTATTATATTATAGGGTCGGTTATATGACCGTTTTTCGTTCACGCACTACAAGGCGCAAGAGAAATTCAAGGTAGAGGATTACTGAATGATCGGTAGAAGGAAATGGAAATTATAAGCAGAATGAAGATAGCGACTGATTCTTGATTTGAAATGTTCTAGGAAGCATCCGCACGGGAATTTGTTACACAAAGTAGCAGTTCTCGAGAACTGGAACTTCCTTATTACAAATGGAATACGAGAGAAACATGGGTGATTCGACACCGTGGACGCAGCATGGCGAAGCCTAGCCCTAAAGGTTAAAACTAGTGGAACTAGAGAGTGAAACTCATATGAATATCTGCCATAGAAATAGAGATGGAGTAGCGATAGACCTGCGTCGTTTCGTCTGTAGAAATATGGCTGTACAGTGGAAAATAAATAATCCCCTATAAAACCGCGTGAATTATTGGAAAGTGAGGATTGAGTAGCTCCATCCCGGATATGATAGCAATACTTCATTTTTGGTCTTGATGTCTGGTGTGTAATTGAGTTTCATTTGACGTTCAGAGCAAAGAGAATGCACGGTTCGATTAGTGATGATGAAATGTTACTAGTTTTGTTTTGGAGGTTGGGTCACTATGCCGTGCTAGACAATTCTTCTTACCAGAATCTGTCTTACATATATATGTCTACCCTTCGTCCATGCATAGGATATTGCTGCCACATATGGTCTGGTGCTCCTTCTTTATATTTAGAGATTCCTGATAAAATCTACAGAAGTCTCTGCAATGTTATTGGTTCTGACCTTGCATCTCGGTTTCAGTCAATTTCCCATCGGCGTAACGTAGTTTCCCTGTGCCTTTTCTATAAATGTTATCATGGTAATTATTCTGATGAAGTACCGAGTCTTCATGAATTTAAACGCGGTACTAGATTGGCGGCACGGTCTCATCATTTTACAGTAGAAATGGTTAGATGTAACTGTAAGTTCTATGCTAAAATTGTCTTCTATCACACTTATCGCTTGTGGAATTTTCTTCCAGCTTCTTGCTTTCCAGCAATTTTTTTATGTTCAAAAATTTAAATGCAATGTTAATCGTTATCTTTTGTCTTAATTA